GCAAACGATAGCTATAAACAACAAATAAGAAAAAGAGCAAAGCTCCTTGGAAGTAGAACGTTTTGCATTGATGCTTGAAAAGTGGAACTAGAACCCACCGACGCAAACATGTAGCCACACACCGTCGAAAAAAAACATTCATACTTCACTAAAGCTTACGGATGCAAAAATGGATCGAGAAGAACCGACGAGAGAAACAATCAACCGTCTGGATTACGGACAGGTTACATCGCAAGCGCATTCCAATATGAGGTCCATCAAAATGACTGACCGACTTTGGCTACAAATTTCAAAAATAGGTCCAACACTCACAATCATCGCTTATTTCTTCTCCTAGTTTCAGACTGAACCGTCAATGGGTTGAAAAAATTCAGCCTAAAAAAAAACTGGATACCTTAATTGCAAAGTCCGAAAATCATGGATTTTAAAATTGACCCTGTCTGAGGGCGATATTTTCTCCCGTCGTCGCAATCAGGGCTGTCCGGAAAAACATCTAAGAAAACATTATGTGAAGAACCGTACCTAAAGAAGCAAACGCTATATTCAATTTTTTCACGCATATTTACGATTGTTTTAAAACGTAATTTTTTTCTAAATTAAGAACTTTACTTGGGTGTTTTACACCCTCTTGTTAACTGGTCATTTCTACCTAGTACAATTATACAGCGAATAGTCTTGTCCACGTCTTGTGTGGTCAAAACCACACTACTGTGGAGTTAGGTTAGATTAGGTCACGCAACTAAATCAACTTCGCGGCAGTGCGGGAGGTATCGCACAGAAATGAAGACGCATTACTAACTACTAGATCGCGCAGATTGCTTCTGCAGCTGCAATGAAGATGTTGCATGTGTGAGGAATTTGCGATTTGACTGTCGATTCTTAAGTAAAAGTTCGCGAAAAACACGATGGCGCCACTGGTTTTTTCTGAAATTATCTCCCAAACTCAGAAAAAGCTCTTAAGTTGAGGCCAAAATGGAGGGGATATCCCACGCTATCCTGAGAGTCCACCTCTACATCAAGACAAACTCTCCATGCAAAGATAGGGAGCAAATACATTAGCAGTGATGCCGTGTTTTCAGTTTTAGAGTCTCAAATAAAGTGGCAGCCCTGTCTATGTATTTCCTCCCTATCTTTGCAAGGAGTGGAGAGTTTGTCTTGATGTAGAGGTGAACTCTCAGGATAGCGTGGGATATCCCCTCCATTTTGGCCTCAACTTGAGAGCATTTTTTGAGCTTGGGAGTTAATTTCAGAGAAAACCAGTGGCACCATCGTGTTTCTCGCGAACTTTTACATAAGAATTAACAGTCAAATCGCAAATTCTTCACACATGCAACATCTCCATTATAAGGCGCCAGTGACGACGGCGACGACGAAGTCGAGAAGATTGATCTCCACGTTCTTCAGCTCAAGAGCCCCGTCCAACACTCTCTTGTCCCATGCCCATGGCTCATCTCCAAATTTTAGGAAAATGAAAGAAACGGGGATTGCAACACGGCAAAGCCGACGAATAAACCCGGAAGTGTGCTCCGGACGGCGCGGCGGTGGTGGAACCCGCGGCTTCCCGATTATGGCAAAGCGGCGGAAATGGAAAACGCGGACTCACTCTCCGGGCAAAAAATTCCGGCTGGGAAGGAGGCCTCACCTCACCTGGATGAAGACACGGTTTCTGCTCATTGAGGCTATGGATTCGCTCGAAAAACAAAAACGTGAATAGATCGAGGTGGATCAATCGAAAAATCAAAACTGAACCGATCGACGTGATTCCATCGACACGGATTTGATCGACAGCCGTGAATCGATCGACAAACCCGTGAATCGATCGACAAGCCCGAGAGTGGATCGACAAAGCCGTGCATCGATCGACAAACCCGTGAGTGGATCGACAAATCCGTGAATCGATCGACTGATCCGTAGGTAAATTGACCGACAAACCCGTGAATCGATCGACAAACCCGTGAGTTGATCGACAAATCCGTGAGTCGATCAACAAACCCTTCAATCGATCAAAAAATCCTTGGATCGATAAACAAACCCTTGAATCGATCGACAAACCTGTGAATCGATCGACAAACCCGTGAGTGGATCGAAAAATCCGTAAATCGATCGACTGATCCGTGAATCGATCGACTTACCCGTGAATCGATCGACAAACCCGTGAGTCGATCAACAAACCCTTGAATCGATCAACAAACCCTTGAATCGGTCGACAAACCCTTGAATCGATCGACAAACCTGTAATTCGATCGAATCGGTGTCGATGGAATCACGTCGACCGGCTCTCGTTTTCGTTATTTGATCGATTCATGTCGATCGAATCCGTACCCTCCCTATTGGAGCTCTATGGATGTCTGTGTTGCATACGCACGGAGGGGAGACGTTTTGACTCTTGAGACACCAACCACCAAACCAGCGCAGCGGCGCACAGTGGATCGAGTCAATTAGAGAGGTCGGACATAAAATTTCTGACTAAAACTGCAAATTTTGATGTTTATTCCATCACATTTGAAATTTCTACGAGTGCGCATAGAACAAAATTATATGAGGAAATCAATGAAACCACTTTTAGAACCTCAAAATTTTATATGAACGGAGTTATAAGAGTTTAAAGTTTCCGAATTTTGTCCGACCTCTCGTACTGACTCGATCCACTGTACGGCGGCGCTCGGTGATGCGAGTCGCAGTCAAAATTTGGAAGCATTAACGGCTCATGCCTATTTTAATACAGAACTAATAGGTGTTAGAAGTGGTTACATTGATTTTCGCGTAAACTTTCCCTCAAGTAGCATCCCATAAAATTCATAATGGGACGCAACTGACATAAAAAATTGGAGTTTACGTCGAAAATTTCGTGTCCAACCTCTCTTGAGAGGCTCGTTTCATAGTGTTGCGTCGCTGCGTGCTTGACTGCGAGGATCAAAAACGACAGAGCCTTCAATTTTTCATTTACGATTCAAAGACATTCCTTGGGCAACATAGGTGCTTTACAAAACATGTTCAGCACATCTTACGATTGTACGCAACAATCCGAGCTAAAGTCTGGGAGATATCTATGCAGAGCCTTTTTCAGATTACTTTTCCTCTTTTGCTGTACAAAAGAGGAAAAGTAATCTGAAACGGACCCCTATATTAGCAGAGAATTGTTAGAGCTCTACCATTTTTGATCCTCCCAGTATGGCTCGCCGTTGGCGCCAAGTGTCGCGAATGAAGCGGGGAGTGCCTGAACAGTCAAAACGCCTTCACTTCTGTGAGTATGCAACACGGACATTCGCGGAGCCCGAATAGATGCATTCAGGAGTTAAATTGAAAGTGTAGTGCTTGTCGTATTCACCACTAACTAAGGCCGCTTTGCTTGTTTTTGTTACCTTCACCATACCTTAATTCCCGTTGCGCTGCTGAAATAAAGTACTTACTTGTTACTGATTTTTATTGCAACATTGTCAAATTACCGAATAATGCTTCGATTTTTTTAATTGTGTGTAACAACCTTGCCGTCCTTACATTTGAGTTGCGGCCCCTGCCTTCGGAATTCGCTTTTTTTTTTTTTTTTTTTTTGTTAGGCACACCAATACAATTTTACGATATGGTTGTAAGTCAAATTTGCTGGAAAGAAACAGCATTCTTAGAAACATCAGAAGCCCCCATCACTCTCTCTGGAACATAGTTTTCATCTACATAACTTTCATGGAGCTGAGGGCGGCAAGCCATAAAATTGAGCCATGCAGACTTTTTCCCATGTCGATGGTCAAAGTGCGAAACCACGTATCTCGGTTGCAATGTTTCAAAATTTCTGCCCCTGTTTTAGTAGAGGAACAAGCTAACGTTGTACCTAGACATGTGTACAGGAAATCAGGGCCGGATTTACCTAATTGCCGCCCATGGGCCGCTAGTATTTTGTCGCCCATGGACCGCTAGTATTTTGCCACCCCCTTCTCATTCGTTTTGAAACATCAACGAAAACCATCAAATGAACATGCCAACGGGGGAGGGGTGCATAAAACGCGTTTACTGGTGTTGAATACATTTTTGAGGAAAGCCCTGTCAACACTACTAGCAAAAGTTCACGGAACTTTGCGCGAAAGTTAAGTTTCGTAAACCTATCTCTGTGTGGACAAGACCTTCTATTCATAAGAAATGAACGAAAAAATTATTAAAGAACAAACATAAATGTGGATTAATGATTTTAGCTTCCGCCGCCGCGCCTCGCAGACCGCACTGTGTTTGACGCAATGCGTGAAGTATTCACGCAGTCTTGTAGGCGCTATGCGTCTCACGCTGATCGCACTGTATTTGCCGCAATGCGTGAGGTATTCATGCAGTCTTGTAGGCGCTAATATGTGTTACATGCCGATCGCCGCGCCGAGGGCTTCTCCTTTTCATCTCAAGTCCTCGTCATCATTTCTCTCTAGGTAAGTCGCGCAGTTCCAGGCCAAATTGCGTGTTTGGTTTCTCTCTTAACTCGACTAATTAAAGGTGCTGTCTCTTGTATCACTAAAAGACGACCAAAGTAGAAATTACTATACTATCAGAAAATTAGAGATTTTGTCGCCTTTTTGCGTGTGTAATGTTTATTTCTGAATCCGAATTTTTTTCATACCCACATTTAAAAAAATTTGCAAAATTTGCCGCCCCCTTTAGATTTGCCGCCATGGGCCGCGGCCCATGTGGCCACCCCCTTAATCCGGCCCTGCAGAAAATTAATATTTTTCTTACTGAGAAGAAAAATCAAGGAAGTTATTAAGAAATTAGGTCGACTAGTTATCCATAGGGAAAAAAAGTATAACAGGAAGTCTGCAACATTGTGAACAGAGATACGCGGTTTTGCACTTTTGCCATCAAAATTTTCAGTGCAAAACTCGGAAAGTAATATTAAAAACCACCAAGTAAAAAAAAAAAATAAGACTGAATGCTTTTCGTCTTTGGGACACTCATTGAAACACATTTTTACACTTAGTCAAAGTGAGTATATACCTACTAAAAGAAAATAAAATTAAGAAACTCACCGAAACACAGTATGTACAGTTGCATTGCTGTAAAGTCCAGGAATCCTTTAGCTCCACTTCGTTTAAGCACACTTTACACAGCACAGTCACCACATTCTTCCCTTTAACGGGAATGAATGCAGCTGATGAACTAATCGAATACTTTGAGGAGGATGCCATTGACAGAAGACTCGAACACGTGGAAAGAAACTTTGAGCCCGATATGACAACGGATGGAACTCGAAGCCTGTTAGTCGGCTCAATTGGTAGAACACTCCCGTGCGAATGGGCAGAAGAAAGGGAAAGCTCACTCCGACTATTACACAAATTCTGCGCAGATTTCACAGCCGAAAGATGAGACGCTGGGGAAAGGGAAGAGCTAGCTAAAATGACCGACTGAGGTCGATATCGCGATGCTTTTTTGCCTCTGTATTCAGATGAACAAACACTCTGAGCTTTGCAAGAAGGCTTGCCACAGTCTAAACTTTTTCTGGGTGCAGCTGGACACTGATCAAGACCTAAATTTTCGACACAGGCAGTACATGAGATGCCTTGAGTGCAATTTTGAGAGAGACTCTCCGTAGAGCAACTATTTTCAAGAACTTGATACAAATTGTCATCTGTTTCAAGACTGAAAGTCGGATGAGCAAGATTTTGAGGACTGGAAGCCTTCAAAGAAAAACAATCACTGCAGGCATTGTCTAAATTAGAATTCAAAGAGTTATTTAGGATGCTACTATCACAATCTGAATCGATGAATTTTAAATTTGAAAAATTGTCACTGTGAACCTTGCAGTACGGTGTTGAGGAGATAACATAGTTAATGTCAGAGCAACTCTTGCACAAACTTTGAGGAGGCAGGCTTCTTTCCGTAACAGCGTTCAATTCGTTGAATGATGCACTAAATGAATTAGGAGACGATGGCACAGGTCGTCTTTCAATTTTGGTTTTGGTATCAGAGCCCTTATGGACTTCTCCGTCACCTGAGACTTGCTTTTTTCCAGGTGTTAAGGCTAGGAGGGACTTCAGAAAAAAATCTACTTTACTCCTCCGTCTAGGGTTAGAACTGGACTTGCTGTGATTGCATAAGATTGATACTAAATTTGGATTTAGTAAATTGTCTGAGGAGTGCCTTTTAAAAACCTTCGTTTGTATGATGCCTCTGAGCTTGTCATCTAAACAAACTATTGTGTCTTTAGAATACATCTCGTCCCCGACCGATATATTTCGTTTCAAATTCAACCCACTGTTAGTAAAATCGAAAGGACAAACATTTTGGAAAGACCTTGAGGTTTTCAATTCTGACTGCCATGAATCCTTGTCAACTGAATAATCATCCTGCTCTGTTTCTTTAAAAGAACAAGGGCCTGTTTTTCTCCGCTTATCACAGTGCAGGAAATCTTTCTTCAGATTGTCCCCTAGGCCTTCATTCCTTTCCAGCTCACATCCGTTTGTTAATTTTATTGGGTTTTGAGATTCCTCTCGGGTCTCGCTGTCAGTCGAGGAGGAAGGCATATCACAATCATAATATTTAATATTGTTGTTATGTTTGACTATTTCTACCAACTTATTGTTGGAGTCATTAAGTAGTCGTTGCCGTACTTCATCATTTCCTTGCGTATCATTTTCATCACAGTCTTCAGAGTCAGAGGCAGTTCCAGGCCCATTTTTTGTCTGCCAAAAGCCTGGTTTGGTGAGGTTCAATAAAATATCATCGTTGTAATTCTTGTCCCACACTTTTAACTTGCCACGCCCTTTCCGTTTCTTGTTCTTCCACCCGAAGAAGTGTTTCTTGATCGAGTTGAATTTGTTTGTTTCTAGCTGCCTGGAGAGGTGTGGCATTGAGCTGTCAGGCTGACTTTTGGATGTGGAAGCTGTGAGTGAGACTTCCGAATTGTGTAAAACGTCTACTGATACTGCTTCTGGAGCATCCGCTTTTTTTACCTCTCGCTCATTTTTCTCCGTTGACATGTCGTAATTGTTGAGGGCGTGCGCCGATCAACTGATTGCTGACCGACGTTACAACTGGTTAAATTATCTACATTATGCAAGCTTATACCTCTGCCTTTCCATTCTTCTGAGTAAACCAAAGCAGATAGAGGGAAGTTCCATTTCTACCATCATAGGCAGGTCCACCATGGATAAGTTATATGAAAGATTTATCAAACCATCCTTTCACCATCTTTATATCCGCACTGAAACACAGAAACATACAAACAATTAATTTCTAATCAAACACTATTCAAAATACATAGAATAGTATGAAACTAAAGTTACCTTCAGCAGAAGTAATTAGCCTATGGGTGTATCTCGAAAAAATTGTGTCCTTACCTGATGCCATATTTTTTAAGATTGAAACTTAGACAGTGCTTTAAACTTAGAGGGAAACAAAAATTAGGATTCTCTTTGATGAATCAAAGGTTGAGTAAAAAAGAAACAATTCAAATTATGGCATTACTCCCCACTAAGATTCAAGATTCAAGATTTATTTATTTCAAAAATTTAAATTTACAAGAGTAAAACAAAACAGCTCCATATGCCAAAAGTGAGCTTGAACTAAGTACATTACATTGACACACTGTTGATGCAGGTGATCATACTTCCTTATTTAATTAAGTAAAAAATTAAGACTTTATTGCTGTGAGTATGGTATCATTAAGAAAAGTCTCAAAAATTTTCTAGGAGTGGGCAGTTAAGTACTTATTATGTAACAGAAAAAAGTGACAATAGAGATTTTGTAAAACACAATGAAAATTATTATTTTAATAGCTTCAATGTGAAAATGAAAATATAATTCATCTGGCATGATGAATAATGGTCATTTACTTGGTTACAAATTAAGTACGGGTAAATTACTGATAAACTAAAAATTGCAAAAATATACCCAGTTATTAACTGAAAAGAAAATGCCTACATGTCATTTGATGGAAATGCTGAATCTTTGCGAACTGAATTCGTTAAGTATTTGTTCAGTCATGAATGCGCCGTTAAGAAGTTGACTCAATTAAACAAAATGTCTCATTTGAAGGGTATATCAATCAAATTTGATTGTTTGATTTGAAAAATTCCTACACTTTTAATAAAAAATTCTCTGGAGAAATTTTCCACCTTGGATTCATACAAGCCTTTATTTGGAGAAGGATGTAGGGGGAAAAGTCCGGTTAAGAACTGGAGAACTTTCTTCAACTGACCCTATTTTCATCTTTGCCTGGAACACAAGTCCTCTTATGAAATAAAAAGTGGAAAATATGTAATTTTTAGACCTGGGTATCAAAATGTTTTGGCTCAGGATGTCTGCTTGACATTTCCTATCCTACATAATTAGCGTGCAACGATAAGGTAGGTCATGATTTGGTATCTAGCGCTGATACCTCAGGGGCAAGTAGATTTGGGCGAGATAAAACCTAATGAAGAAAATTACGTTGTGCTTTTGGATTAGATTAGATAGTTGAGTTTACTATCAGATAGAGATACAGCGATAACAAACTGGAGGTAAACTGAAAGCTTGTGAGAGCTAAGCGAGCACCCACAGGTGTCTTGCTCTACTTACAATCAAACGCGCCCTGACCTCTGAGACAGTTGGAGAATTCTTGGAGCAAAAAGCAGATGAAATGTCGCAAGAGAATTGACAGCTTAGAAGCTGCTTGTAACCAAATTAATTCCCCAATTTCCGGTAGAAATTCAGGTTAATTAATGGAGCAGCTTACCTGAGGGGGTAGGTGATTGCAAGCACAGTTCAGCTGATAAGTAGAAAATAATCTTCACTCGAGCATCCTCGTCACCACATAATCAATTTCGAGAGAGGTTGAACGAAATTCGGGAACAAGTGCGAGAAGGAAACAAACGAACAAATACCGAAGACCTGATTCGAAAGTGACACGAAAAATATCGCGATAGCACTGGAACCAAGCCAGACGTCCCGACAAATTTGTGAAAATTTTAACGAAACGCACGGAATTCTCGGGCAGCGAAACGCGCAAACTGACGGCCACACACACGAGGAAATAATAAGAAAGCTACCTCGGCAAATGATCCGTATCATTACATATTTGCTGAATAACACTAAAAACTCTCGGTTTGCTCTGCGAGGTATCCATCCATTAAAATTTCAACGATGTACGATGTCGACGGGAAACGGGTTCACGATGACGGGAACGAATGAGCCCGATTAGCCGTAGCTCGTCATCATCGGGTAAACTCGGTTTTGTTTTCTGCTATGTTGCCAGGTCAAATATTTTTCAGCGATTACTGCCTTTACCAAATGGAGCAAAGCGAAAGAGCCGACATCGTCGCTCTGTTTACAAAATTATCACGTTATCAGTTAGGTACGTTCGGTGCTTTCTCTATGTGACAGTAATTCTTCTTTTCGAAATTCTTCATCAGTTTTTTAGCTGCCGCAGATGGTAAATCTCATCTTCATTTTCACTCGCCTATGTTTAGTTTCCTTATTTTCAAAACATTTTCTGAGCTTGAGTCCTGCCAGCCTGCGAGGTAACTGCTGCGAGTGCCCTGCATCTGCAGCCGATTAATGGAATATGCCCAATTTTATTGTAAAGGACCCTGCAAACCTCTTGTGGGGATGTGTGCCATGATCAATTTTCACCTTTTTTTTGGCATCAAACTTGTCTAGGGATGCTGAATAAAAGTCATCAGTGCGCCAAATTTCCACAAGCTACCGTTTTCGCACTATCTGCATGTTTCTCTCAATAATTCCTTGATTAAAATGAGGCAGCGCGGAGATAAAGAGTCTAGAAAGATAAGAGATCTCTCATCTCAACATTGGAGTACAGTTTGTTGTGCGTCAAAAAGGAAATCAGGAAAACCCAAGTGGCAGTCTTATCTCGGATTCTGCATACCTTTTCGTTTGACCATCCAAATCAGTTTCTCCCGTTCCTTCCACCCCTTTACCTCTGACCAGCTGAGTTTTTCCTTGCTCAACGGACGATCTTGAATTTTGAAAAAAAGAGGGGTTTTGTAGACTCTTTATCACCAAACTGCCTTCTTTTATCAGAGGAATTATTGAAGCAAATTGCGGATAGTGCGAGAATGGTAACTCATTGAAAGTTGGGGCAAAATGACTTTTGATCAGCATCCATAGATGAGTTTAATGCAATAAGAAAATTGAAAATCGATCATGGCACACATCCCCATTAGAGGTTTGCACGATCCTTTGTCTTGATTAGAAGCAACTTTTACAGCATATTTAGAGTATTGCGGTTTTATTAATCAAATCCATCTGTAAGATTTTTTCAACGATGCTGCTCTAAAAGTAAACAATCCGTGACCAAGTATCAAATCTTCAGCTGGAGGATCTGATCAGCGAACCAGGGATTTTAATGGTCTCCTGAGTTGACTCCCTAGAGACACAGCCTCAAAACTTGGGTAGGGAAATGGACACTTGAGTGGCACTCAGACTCCAGCCTGAGGGGCTGGTCCTCGGAAAAATTTAGGCTGTCTCAAATCTGTAGTCTGATTCTAAGTAAGTGGCGGCTGACACCAAGTATCAAATAATGAGGTTGGATTCGCCAGTACTTAAATGAAGAGACTTAAGCTAATGGGCACCTGTAAGTAGATAGGAGTAAATTCTTTGGCCATGTGCTTTTGCCACAGGTAGAATTCTTGGCTTCCTTCTCTCCGAATAAACATGCTCACCGAAAAACTTATGATTTTATATGGTTCCCCCCTGTCATCCTTTTTTGTGAAATCCAAACCGATCATGTGGGTATGTATTCTCAAAGAGAAAATCATAAAATTGACTTGGCCACCTCTTCATAATTTAGTAATAATGTATGATTTGTTTTATTCAACAGACAATGAGTTCATATCAAATCTTTAGGCTTCTGCTAAGGAGCAATTGTGGCCAACAGTTACTAAGGTCTGCTTCAGTAATGTGCAGACAGGGAAACTCTCATCATTCAACTACAATATCAACTCAACATGGTCTTTTACATCTAAAGAAAGAGATTATATCGAACCAGTGGATCAGCACAACACCCTGTTTTGCAAAAGGGAAAGACAGAGGAAAAGATAAGAAAAAAGTCAAAGGTAAGCACTTTAATGGATCTTTTGCGAGGAATAATTGTATTTCTTATCGCAAAAATTAAACTAACGTCTTCTGTGAAAAATTTCAAACCAATTTTCACCTTGTGACTTACTCAGTTCAAATAAATTCTACATTTTCATATTCTCGATTCCAGAGAATTCAGACCTTAAAACAATGAAGAGGTTCGCGTTGATAAAAGTTAAAAAAGGTATATATAGTATCACTCAATGATACCATTGAAACTCCATGTATAATTTTACATGTTTTTTCTTTTCTTTTTTTGCAGGGAAACAGGTTTTCATCGATGAAAATTTACTCAGTCAATTAACAAACCTAGACAAACTTAAAACTGATTTTCAAGAGTGCATTGACATGATGAAGGAAGATTTTATTAAGAACCTCTCACTTAGGTCATCAACAGGTGAATTTATTTCTAATGTATTTAAACATTATTTTTGGCAGGATAAAGTAGTTTTTTGGAATGATTGGAGAAAGGGTAAAATTCTGGTCACTATCTGAGACCTATCCCATGTTATCAAAGGAGGAAATACTTCCAAAAAGAAATATCATCTTACAGGACCGAAATAAAATTTGAAGTTCTTATCTGTAAGAGTGAATTTTCAGAGTTCAAGTATGTGAGTAAATTAGACAAATTAAAAGAGCGAACATTTTTGTGTGGCTATAGTGGATCTTTGGGCGGGGTTAGAAATTCAGAAATGTCATCAGAATAATTTCATTGCTTCAAAATGCCTCTGCATTGAACTCAAAGGGCACTTGAAATTTTTTTAATTTCAACATGAAAGTGTGAAATTAGTCTTAATTTTCTGTGTTTATAATCTCAAAAATTCTGCTTGCCAAGTATCAAAGTCTGCTTGAATCAAATTTGGGACTGAACTAGTTTAAGTGAGTTTCACAATCAAGTAATTTTTTCAGTTTGCTAAGTCTTTTTGGAACGATTATGAGCACCTCCAATGAAAGAAAGAGAAAATTTTTGCAAAACTCGAGTGCAGTTATTTGCCAAAGGGAAACTTTATTTTCAAATAAGTGACGGCTGATTTGGCCTCCATTAATTTTGGTTTCTTCCAAAAGTTGGAAGTTTGAACTCACAGGATCTTATGTAAATATTAAATACAAAGATCTTGCTGAGGTGTCTCTGGAAAGCTTCAATTTGTTGAATGTGCTCTGCATAAAATTATCAAAATGATCAGAACTGGCCCCTGATAATCACTGATTGTGTTCAAATTTGGTGAGAAGGGCCAGTTCATCATCACAAGCAACTAATTTAAGAAGCCTCCCCCTCCAACGATCCATTTTCTTCCACTCCCCATGATGGATCAACTCTTCATCGCGTCAAATGACGCAAAAGTGCGGCTGTAAGATAAAGTTGTCTTGCGAATTTTGAAAACGACATTGAAGTGACTGTTTTTTAGATACCTTCCTTTGAATGAGAGTAAAAATATTTCATTTTACAAAAAACCTGAATTAGGGCCTGGAAATCAGGGAGAACCTGAAATTGAATTCAATCCAATTTCAGGTTCTCCCTGATTTCCAGGCCCTCATTCAGGTTTTTTGTGAAATGAAATAATTTTACTCTCATTCAAAGAAAGGTACATATCTAAAAAACAGTCACTTCAATTGTTGATTTACTTTTTCTACCCAGTCCAAGCTTAGGATATGAAAGATCTAGTAATAAGATTTCATAATGATAAACTGCCTGCTTACCTAAATGATATTCTTTCAACAGGAGCAATTGAGTCACTACCAGTGAAAGTTGATGGTGATGAGTACCAGGTTCAAGACCTTGCTCAAATTAATCGAAAAAATCCCAAAACTATAGTCATGAAAATGGATTCATTTCCGCAAGCAATCCCTGCCGTACTAGAGGCTCTCACAAAGTCTGGCATGGACTTGAATCCACAGCAGGACGGCACTACAATATTTATCCCAGTTCCTAAGTAAGGTGTACTTCTTTTAATACCATTTTTAAAAAATGTATTTTTTAAGAGAAAATCATATTGAACTTATTGATCGATCAGTAACAATTCTCATTTAACTTTGTTAGTGAAAGAATCTCAGAAGGGCAGTTTTCCAGTTTTTCATCACTGTCTTGGAGCGCCCCAATATTTGTTCTGGAGGCCGTAACTTGCAATTTCCTCAAAAGAAAATATGTCGCTCGCCAAAATGGTTGAATTTTTTACTTAGGTCCTTCAGGCCCTGTAAGGCACGGGATAAAATTTTTTCAAAAATTTTTCAGAGGTCGATTTAGAAACTTGATGAAAATTTCTTAGAAGTTGACTTACTTTGCATCTTCCACTTCAATGTTAAATTATTTTTTTTTTTTTTCACAACCTTAGCTTTGAACTTTTTTAGTTTAGGAGAGCATTACAGGTACTCCACTGATCAATATTGCTTTTTCAGAGTGACGAAAGAACATCGAGAAATGCTGAGCAAGAATGCTAGAACTTTGTTTATTAAGTACAGAGATCGCATCAAAGATGTTCAAAACTCTCACATTAAAAAAATTAGGAATAAAGAACTTGAAGGTGGTTTCTCCGTAGACCAGATACATGAAGCTGTTGAAATGGTGAGTGTTTTTAATTCAATTTGGTTTTCACCTTTCCCTTTGAAATTAAAGAAAATATCAAGTTTCTGAGAACTAAACAACTTTAAGGCACGAATTTGAAAGTTTTGTATATTGGATTGAATTTTGAGAAAGAAAGGTTTAAAAGAATAATAAAAACCGGCTGCAGTTAAATCTACAAATCAATAGCTTTCATCTGAGAAAAATGCAGAGGAAACGGAGCTCTTGCAGGTGTCAGGGATTTACAGTCTAAGTACATTTTCTTTTGTAAAATTTTGCAAGGAACACAATGGTGCCTTTGCTTATCTCTGAAACAAACTTTAAAGCTTAAAAAAAACTCTCAAAGTTGAGGCAATAATAGAGAGAATCCCCCATGCTACGCCGAAAGTACACCTCTGTATTTTGTCGGATTCTCCAACTTAGATAGGGGGAAATATATCGGCGGGGTTGCCTCAGTTCCAACTTCTGAGTCCCTAAACAAAGAGGCAAATGTATTCATTTAATGTGTTTGCTCCATATTTTTGCATGGAGAGGATACTGGATATAAAGGTGGACTCTCAGCATAGCATGGGGGATATCCTCTATTACAGCCTCAACTTTGAAAGCTTTTTTTAAGCTTTGGAGTTAATTCTAGAGAAAACCATTGGCACCGTTGTGTTTCTCGCAAGGTTTTACACAAGAAAACGTTTTTAAAACACAAATCCCTGACACATACGAGAGCTCCATTCAAGGGTAGTTTTGGAGAATTAAGGTGAACAAAAATTAAGAATTTCATACTGAGGCAATGACGGAAGTGAAACTGCCTTGGACTCCCTCGTTCCATCACGAATCTTAGCTCAACTTGTCCTCTTTGGTTAATGTCCGTTTTCTTGAGACTTAATGCTACCATTTGACGAGTATCAGATACATATATGTCTGTATTTTTAAAATAACCTCATCTGTACTCTTACTCTCTTGTATTTTGTAAGTCGATAATTCTTGAAATTTCCTCTTATTTTCTCTAGGTAACAAACATGGCTCAAACTCACATCTCGCAGGCAGAGGCAATGCTGTCCACTAAACAGTCTGAACTGCTAAAAAGTTAAGCAACAATCCCACGGCTTAGCATTCTTAAATGAAATTTTCAAGTAGTAATGGTTCTGCATAATTAAATTGTAAATACTTTTACCAAATAATTTTAATTTTTACCTGTTCCCTGCAATTCCTTTTTTTGATTCTTAAAATCTCTCTGTTAACAGTTCTATAATGTATAATTTATATATTTTCAGAAGTCTCAAAATTAGTAGAAAACGAAAGAGTGTACTAAAATTTCATTCTGCGAATTAGGATAATTATTGTGGCGGAATCATGGCCTGGAGGTGAAGGGATGAATTTAACTTAATTATATTTCATTGCTTGTGCGGCTGTGCAAATAGTGAATTTTTCTAACGAAGCGAATAGCTAACAATTTTGCCAATTATTCGCGAATACGAACGCATAGCAAATAATTTAAGTCAATTATTCTCAACTAAGAAAAGTAATACGTATAACTAAAAATGACTTTTTTAAGAGCAGAGATTCTCAAATATTACAAAAGTTGACAAATAAGTGTTATTAATTTTTTTTAATAAAAATTCCATTTGCTTATACACCTGTGCAAAAAAAGATGAAATGCTATGATAGCAGCCTGAGCTGTTAAGAATGTGTTTAAAGATCCTTGGATGCTGGCTTGACTGTCCCTGCAGTTATGTGTGCATTCCCAGGATTTAAAGTTAACTGCACAGGCAGTCAAGCTAGTATCGAAGGATCACTAGACACATTTTTTTTGTCATGAAAATGTGTTTATGAACATTAATGCCGGCGCGAATATTCGAGAATGCCGAAGAGTACTCGAGTCAGCTGAAGCGTATATTTGACATTTCCGAATATTTGCACAGCTTAATTGCTTGAAGAGATTAATTGTGCATCCATCGCTGCGAAACAGATAGAAAAAAATTGAACCATTATTCTTGACATAAAAACTACATAATCAAATTATTCAACTTCATTAATTTTTCATTCATTTAATTTTTTGCATCCAATATTGAGCCAAGTTGTACTTCAAGTTGCTTTAAGAGAGGTCTAGATTTCAGGAATTTACTGGGAGAGGACCTTCCAACCCACCTCAGCTGAAGAATCTCCGCAAAGGATTAGAGGCAGCAAGGTTAGGTCTTCCAATCTGTCTACTGACGACAATGAGCTTAAATAATCAAACTTTCTACGTGCCTTTCTCAAGAGAACAGGACTGTGAAGGGATACTTTACATGTAATATCTAATTGAAATGTTGCAACATCTTATTACTCTGGATCCCCTTAGATTGCTCGATGTGAAGGAGGCCCCAAAATAACATTATCTGTTGAATTTTTCAGATACCAGCCAGACCATGATCTCCGATAATATCAAATTACCCCTTCACCTCAAATCCCAAAACTTCAGTATTTTTAGACCCTTCAAGATATGTACTTAAGAAGGAATAAAAACAGATATCATAATGTATTTACAATAACTGCATTTAACATTTTGAGTAAAAAAGTAATATGACACGAATGACTACTAATAAAAAGAGGTAACAGGATTAACAATTTTCTATAGGCTTTTGATAAAACCTACAACTTGAAAATAAAAACGTACAGATCACATTGAGTATATCAAGACTAAACATGTAATACAAGGCAGAAATCATGATTTAAAACCTCAAACTACGATTTTGCTGACACATTAGAAATATGAGACTTTTTCAGGAGTGAGGATTGACATGGAGGAAAGGGAGAAAAGACATAACATGATTGGGCAATATGTGAAATAAAAGAAGGAAAGAAATTTTACATTTAAAGGATGATGCGCAGAATTTGGTGACCACTACCAAGAAAATTGGCGCCAATTTTACAAATTTTGATAGTATTTGATATGATCTTCCTAACAATCCTCTGAGGCCAATAAGCTTTAATAATCAAACTTTCTATGTGCTTTTCTCAAGGAAAACAGGACTGTGAAGGGAGCTTTTCCGTATTTTCACAAGCAATATCTAATAGAGATGTTGCAAAATCTTGTTGTTGATTGAGGAGAACTGTAGTTTCCTTGCATGCCAGGAAAATAAGACACATAAAAATAATCAAAATCATGCAAGAGAGCGGCCACACATACATAGTAACAGTCCCACGCTTTCATTAGAATGCGCATGTAAAAATACCGAAAAATTCACTTTCCAGCTCGCTTATTTTGACTTTAGTGCATAGAAAGTTCAATTCAATTGCTCATTGTGCTCCGGAGATTGTTAGGAACATCATGTCAAATAATTTCGAAATGTAGCTGGCTGAATTTCTTGGTATTCCGAGCTTGGTAATTTAAAATTCATCATCTGAACAACTGTTCGTGTTTTTCATTCGTTCTCTCTCATGAAAAATCCAAGTATTTTTCCCACGGAATCAGAATTACTTCCTCTAAGAAAAAAGGGAAGGAGAAGGAAAATGTTTTCAAGGCATAACGATTTTTTAAAATTTCATTTCAAATTTTATAATTGAAAATGCCTTTATTGTGAAAATATTTCATTCATAGCAAAATATCGAGAATGTCATTGTACCACTACAACAATGCCACTTTAACATTCATAACTTATGAGCTGAAACAGTTGCGGCGATAGAGGAAGAGGAGAAAAGAAACGTAGTATGTGCCTGCTTCAAGGTCGGCAAAAACCTAATGTCAGTAAATACTATAACTCGATGAAAAGATATGATCCAAAAATTAAATGTTATCTAGAATTCACTAATATTTGCTTGTATTTTCAAAGGCCTCAGGGTTTCTTTCATAAAATGCACAAGCGCTTCAAGTTAAAAGAATTTAAAATTCTTAATATTAAACCATACATACATTCTTAACTTATCATAGTCTCTTCACAATAAATGAAGAGACAAACAATCCAGCGTGGAAAGCCACAGAATTCAGTGCCAACTTGATTTCATTTTTTGATATGATGTACTTTTACAACTTTCCTATCAGGATGAGCTCTTAAAATCAAATTCCTAGGTACCAATATCCAGAAAAGCAGGGCCGAAATTAAATTTGTTGACATTTTTATAAGTTTATTCTTATGGAGGTGTGGGCCTATCGCTGACTGTGTCCATGCTACACCTGCACACTCTCATCAATCAGAGGAATTTGAATCTCCTCGGACACTAATATGACGTTACAACAATCCTACTGAGCAATGCGTGATGAAATACTGAAAGAAATCACTCATCGGCCCAAATATTCTCGAAAACGGTAGAAAGAAAGTTCGCTTTACAAAGCCCACCGTGCACAGGACAGCGCAAAGAACATCATATAAAAAAACTAACTGTAGCTGGCGCTGAGTCCTTTGGTTTTCCAAGTAAGGTCCTTTACTTGTAATGCATGCTAAGTTGTAAAGCAAAGCCCAAGACATATCTTTTCATGGAAAAGAAAGAGTTTTAGACATGCATAAATCAGGACTAAGCTTTTAAAATCTTCTCAACTATCATCACTGTCGACTGAGACGACACTCCACTTCCTGATACGTTCGCACTTTCTGCACTCTCTTGCACCATGCCAGCACTTATGATGATATGCTGTTTTACACTTTGAGCACGTGTCAATGCCACTATCAAAGGGGAAAATTATCGTTTTGTTATCACAGAGCTCGCAACGGTACCCTCGGCCGCGGCAAATCTGAAAAATATTCAAACATTCGATCAAATTACAAGTTATTTGTCGTTAAAAACATTGAAGGAAGGGCAGCAGAGAGAAATAACAAAAATGAAACAGTAGACAAAAGAATGAGAGGAGAGAAAAATAAAATTAGCTGCTTGACAAATTTTAAAGTATAATCGGTGCTTTTGAACGTTTCAAAAAATTTTTGCCTAAGATGTCCAAAAGGGGGGAGAGGGGGTCGAAATGGAAATTTTTTGATTGAGTCAATTATAACAGCAAAAACGAGAGTCGAATGTGATAAAAATCACATGTGCACAATTTTTGCCCTCTGCATCATCCTTACACAAAGTCCTGGACACTTTAGGGGACTAAAATCAACAAATGCTTTTTCTGAACAATTTCAACAGAAATATGCGAGGTGTGTAATGAGTTGCCAACTTTTGGACAACAAATTCAACCGTTTCAACATGTAGGGAAAAGTCAAAAGTGTTTGTTGAAAATGAAAATTTTTGGCATTCAAAACAGCTTATTTTGGCACCCCATTAAAAGAAATTTGAATACATACAAATTTTGACAGTAAGACACTATCCCTTATGAATTCAAAGAGTTTCTTTCCTGGGGACAAAAATTACATCAGTTTTCAAATGCAATTAAAATTAGAGTAGGAATTGAAAAAATAAACAAAATTTTGATGCAAGCTTCAATTTTTGTGAAATTTCAATGATATAAATAGGATAAAACAAATAGGATAAACAGGATAAAACAAATAGGGAGAGGCTAAAAAAATCCGCAATAAAGAAGTGCCTACCTCACAATCAACTTTTACGTGTTTTGTCAAATTGTTGTGAATGCCTTCTAAAATGGACTCTAGAGCACCATTTTTTATATCAATGAGATCTTGAAGACTGTATCTATCTGCATCCTCCAAGAAGTATCTCCGTTTTTGACAAAACTTCCAGGCCAGATTCTTTTCAAGTGCTATCCTGCAAGTTATCAAGTACCTTTTGAGTACTAGGATATCTTCCCTGAGTTTCTGAAATCAATAGAGAGGTTAAAATTGATGAAAGAATTGAAATGTGAATATTTATGGGTTAAAAAAGAGATAAGATTTCGTGTGCTCACTTGGGCTATTTAACAATTTTATGGGATGCGTTTTGGGGTTGAGATGGCTCCATCATCAGCCAGCAGCGAGTATGCTGCCGGCAAAGAAAAACGCACACAAAGAAAAAACGCCTGTGAAAGTCGTAGGCGGCAACCTCTCTTTGATCTTTCTCAACTTTTTCAATTTTCCACCAATCAAAATGATCTTTTTCTTGAATGATGGGTATTTATACTGTCTTTAAAATGAGACCAAGATCAAGTTGATAGCTAGCCTAGATCTCTAAAGTTACAACACCAGTCTCATTACTTTTGGTACACCCTTTATATATGATGTTGAGCTTAATCAAATAATTAGACTTAACTAACCTTAATTCTACCTAACTCATCAAGCAAGCCAAACAAACGCGGATTAAGTTTCTCAAGGGATATCAGCGGTTTGTGGAGCTTGAGTGTAAGGAGCTGATATGAAGCTCTGCAAACAGGATAGGCATTGAAGTCCCAGTTGTGGATAACTCTTGCCGGAGAGACCATCATTGTGTTCCAGTGACACAGAGGGCAGTAATATTTCCCAGCATAGTCACACAGCCTTGGCTCCTGCCATGTAGAACCTTAATGTAAACGTCAGCACAAAATTAGAGAGACATGTACGAAACAACAAGAGAAATGAGACACAACACCATAAAGTATTCTTATAATAACATTTCCCACCATGCCTATCTTAGTGACAAACTTTTGCTTGTCCTCTCAGGTCAAAACGCTCACTGAAACCCGATCTTTTTATCACAAGGCCAAGCAGTAAGAACGCTCCTTGTGGTTCTACCATTTCCTTAATTTTGAACTACGTATTATAAATGCAACCAAAAGGTAGCACCAGACCAGGGTGTTTCAAGGATTATACATTTTCAAGAATAATTCCCTCTCAAGCCTTGGTCTTTTTTAGGACCTGGAAAAGAGCCATGTGCAAATTTACATCCCTTACGTCAAATATTTAGGACTGCAAACAAGCTTCGAGTAATACAATGGTGACTTCCATTGAAGAATGCACTTTATTTTAATAACAGTAATTGATAGCAGCAAGAATTGTTCTGACGGCTGAGAGATTTAAAGTCATCTGACAACTGGCCATAGATTCTGCCTCGTTGCAATAGTTGGGACAAGCAGGTGGAGCAGAACAACTGCATTTGAGCCCAGTGAAGCCATGTGTCAAATTTTGGTGCAAGAGCTTACACTAATGGCAATTTTAACGTAAGTTGAAGATCAGAGGAAAAGCCTGCGATGATTTAAAATAATAATTAATTTCTCATTACCAAAGCGACTGAAAAAAAAATGAATTCAGCATGACAATAATTGACATAATGAAGGGCGAGCAATAGCAGAGACTTACGGAAATTGATTGTAGATTTGCATTCTGCACACTTGTAATTTTGCTCTGCTAGATTGGTCTCTGGACAAATGTTTGTTTCATATTGTGGTTTTTCAGCTCGTTTGACATTTGCACAGATCCTGACTGTATTTTCAATGCACTTGATGTGGCATTCATAACCGCAGTCTAAAATTGGAAAATTACAAAAATACGAGATACATTCAAAAGTTTTGCAGATCCCATCCAATTGTCGGATCTTATCAGCAACTCTTTCAATTACTCTTCAGATGAAAGCAAATGCTAGGAATGAAATCACTTTATAAGTCGCTCAATTTAAAATTGGAGTGAAAATCAAAACTAACAGATTTTGATGGCGACAATTTAAATTCTTTTAAATCAGATAAATGTTACACAAATTCCTCAATTTTAATGTTCTGTAAATTGGGCAATAAATATTTAATTGATTTAAGCATTATAAATTTCAGATAGGGAAGAACAAATTCAATTACACAACATAGTGAAGTCAATTACAGATCGAGAAAAGGCAAACAACTGACCGAAAACGTTTGTATCATATTTCTTGTTTGCAATTGGCCTTGAAATATTTATCAATAATGTAAATTCTTTGTCTCTTAATGTTAGAATCCCTGGATACAAATATTATGAACTGTGGAAGGTTCATTGATCTATGCTATGGATAATTTTACTACCTAGATTGATGTACGTGTAGTGGTGAGACTACTCTTACCTAAACACTCGTACCAAGAGACTAGAACTGTCCAAATAGCTCGACAGCATCTTTCACAGAACTTCATTGCTTTCGCAGTGGCAACAGATCGCTTCTGCAAACTGAAGTGGTGTCCACGAAGAACCCTGGTTTCACTGATAGGTGACTGGTTCTCTTGATTTAGGGTCTCTTTGGCCACAGCCAATCGATACCTCAGCTCAATCAGCCGTCTGACAAGCCATCGCCGCTCCTCTGAACATTCTTCACTTTTTAGTATGGATTCTTGACAGCTGCTGATCACTTCTGTTAATTCTGTTATACTGAGTAAAGCATCTGAGCTCTGTAAAGTGGATAAATGGATTTTAAAAATACCAAGTGGTCACTGAACAAACTTTTATCATACAATTATTTTTTTTCCATTGGTGTAAATGAAAGTTAACAAGTCTAGAATTAGTTAAATATCACTTATTGTCGAGCTACTCTTGGGTTTACTACTTGGTCCTGTTTTAACTGCTTCTGGTTAATTATGTTCCCAACTTTATAGATCGACAATCACATAACTCGGTTTGCAACGTCACAGACTTCCTGTCATACTTTAGTTTTTTAACAGAGAACTACTCAACGGCAATTCTTTAAAACTGCCATGATTTTCCTTCTCTATGCAAAGAAAATTCGGCAAAAACTTCAAGGTTTGCTGTCAATTGTTCAATTTTAAAAAAATAACATAGTGGCAGAGATTTTCAGACACTGCAAACAAGATATGTGATTGCGGACTCATGCTGTTGAGATTTGTTATGGTGTGGAAACATTCATGAAACTCATAGCTACTGTTGATTATTTTATTTTTCTTAAATAAATATTACTTGCTGAGTTTTTTAATCAGATAGGAGCTATGAAACAACTCCCTTGCTGCTGTCGAACCTCCAGAGGAGCTTAATTTTAAGTTTTAAAGCGGTCAGATTTTGGTGCCTCTTCTACTTATTTCACACTGGAGGTTGCCTCAATTGCCTTTCTCTTTCCTTCTAACTTTAACGAAGATAAAATGGACGTATTTCTACCAAACAGAACTCTGTGCATTGAGACATGAGCCCTGAGACCCATGAGGATATATGCATAACAGGGCTCACATCATAATGCACATTGTTCTGTTTGGTAGAAATACGTCCAAATGGGTCACTGAACCTTCCATATTCCATATTCCATATTTAATATTCTAAAAGCACCAGGTGAGTAGATTTGTGGTAATTTATTGTGCATTTTGGTAGCCAAAAAGCCGGACAAGCCCGCTTTTATAAAGTCCAACAACTCGAAGGAAAATCAGACATGCCAGAATAGCGGGAAAATAATGGAAGTGATGTACTACAGCAGTTAAATCACTACCTCCTCTCATTTTCCACTGGTGTTTGTTAAAATAAGACATATTCCAATGAGGGATTGTTGCTCGTCAACTTCAGATAACATGAATGAAATTCGATTCTTTGATTTTGAAGATATAGTTTCGACTTCCCTACTGTTTTCATGAATGAGGGGTGGAAGGACATTCGACAGAGGTCGTACAAACCCATGCTTTTAGAACAGCGTACTGCTTAGTTTCTGTGTTGCTTTTTCGCGTTTTCAATGTGTGCATTGCATTCTGTGCATCACTTACTATCAGAAAACTGCTTTCGCAAGTTAAAATTTGTTCATTTAGTGACCCATTACATCTATGCTTGAGAAACAAGCTTGGCTGCAATATGAGAAAAAAAGGGCCGCTAGATTACATAATGTAAGTAGTGTTTCTTAATTCAGGACTTACTTCTGTAAATGTAAGATAATTTTGAGAGTTGATGTGGCCAGGTGGAGGTGGTGAACCTCTTCCATTAGATTCGTCACTCTCCGAGACGGATGATGTAGGTGTCACGAGCTCTGAATCGACTGACCCTGGATTCTCCTTATCTTGAGCAGATACCTTTCCATTTATGATAACAACGGCTGAGGATAGATACTTGGGGATTCGATCAACATAAGAGGCTGGTAGGGACAAACTTTTCGAGAGGAATGCAGGGTCTGACCCTGCCTCGGAGGAAGACTCATTTAACTGTGATGTAGAGGCACTTTTATCGAGTTCGGTCATTGTGCTTGATCACTGCCACCATACCTGACAACTGAAAAAACCGATTTTACTATTAATAAAAAAAGATCAGGAAATAAAGGTCAAAAAATAATATTAACATGTATGATTACGAAGTGAGATTTCTCCGCAAGCTGAAGTCAACATCAATTTAGTTTAGACGCGCTTAAGGTAAAATGCATAGGTTACCAAAGGGTTCTACCAACTAGATGCTTGAATTTGCTTCCAATGCTAAACTGCAGACAGCTGATCTTTCGTCGTACTCTAAAAGTGCGTAAACTTATTTGACATAGACTCTGTTGAGCAGGTAATGACGATATCAAGTGAAACACACAGAGAAACAATGTGTAATAATTTATGCTCACTGAATCAACTTAAACTTGCCCAGAGCTCAAGGGCTTGAAATTTTCAACAGTCAGTTCCGTAGATTGTTGATCATCCAATGTGGATGTCATGAATTGCGTTACTCGCTGCCACCCAATTGACGCAATTGTGAAATACATTTCTGAGGTTTTCAAAGTTAGGTGAGAATAGTGAACATTGCAAGAATTACTGAGATGAAGAATCATCCAAAATCTGAAACTATGTGATGGAGATTTCGTGATTTTTCATAAAATAAAATGAATTTAACTGAAGGGTGACTTACAGGTTAAACTGGAATTCAAATCACAAATGGACCACGTTATCAAAATTTTAGGACGAATTTTCTACGGAGGATTGAGCGTCGTAATGAGTTTATGATCTACGTACGAAAATCTTAAATTAGCTTACATTATGTTGGACTTCAGCGAAAACGAAAATAATCACTGGCAACTTTGCCTTTGTCGTGTACGAAATTACGAATCGTGATCAGTTCATTGTTTACATTAGTAACGTTGTTGACAGATGGCGTCCCCAGCCATGCAATTAGTTTCTGATTGGTCTATGCACTGCACTGGCATCACTGTATGTACCTACCCGTACCGCGCGAGTTCATTCATGATTCATGCAGTCTTATCGCTTATCAGAGGATGCAGGAACAAGATACTCACCGATAAGGAAAGAATTCACAACTTCCTGTTGCAATACCGTCTTCCATGCTGCGATTTGTACTCAAAAATCCTGAAATGCTTCCCAAGATTTACGTACAAAAATTGAGGGCAGGGGGGGTGGGCGATCTTGTGGGTCAAATGCATTAGAGGGGAGGGGGGATGTTCATTTTTCGGACATCGCTGAGGTGAGTAGGTAACGCTGTCACATGGCGCAAGAGTAAAACCACGTATCTCCATTGCAATGTTTCAAAATTTGCGCTCCTATTTTATTTTTCCGAACAGAACTTTGTAGCTTGAACTTTACACAGAACATGCGGCTCACAGAGAAGAAAAATCCAGGAAGTTTCCAAGAAGTTATGTTGGCTTGTTTTTCCCTCAGAAAAGTAAAGTACAACAAGAAGTTTGCAACGTCGCAACCGTAGATCTGCGGTTTCATACTCTAGCTATCAATATTTAAGTGATAAAGTTTTCGAGGAGGCAAGATTTTGTGAAATTTAATACCTACATGGATGTTTTATAAAAATCACAAGCGGACGTTACTTTCTGCTAACCTGCCGCCATCATTGTGCCCAAATCAATGCTGAAACTTCGAGTGTGCTTGCATAAGGATCTATTTTGGTTGCTTTTCGCAGAATAGTGTTCTAACCCTATGCGCAATTGCCATTGAGCATTTTGAAGGACTTGAGGCTGCTTATGTTAAGATCACTTAGTTCTTAGTCATGCCTGCTGGATTTGGCTATTTGCAGCCCTGAGGCAACTAATGTTGTGTCAGTCCCATGATGGTTCCAAAGGGTAAAACTAAGTACCAGATGGTCGGAGGGACCTCCCCTAGAAAATTATCAAAAAATAATTTCCCTTTGGAGCGAGTATCACCTTTTATTGTCAAATTTTAACTGCGCAGCTGTTCATGAAAAAAAAAAAAAAAATGAAAAAAATTTCTTAGTTTTTTTCTTCTCACCTCAAAAATTGAATGCTGCCGGGCAACTACTTGGGTTGCCTACTCGGTAAATCCAGGAACGGTCATAATGACTGATTAAGATGTGATTTATTTGGTATGCTCAGAAAATTGAGATGTCTTGAAAACAATTTTCAACTATTCACATCGGAAAATTGACTAAAAATCAATTTTGGAGATTACAGGAGAGCCATGCACTCATTTAAGAAAAATCCTCTTTATTGTCTGGTGAGGGCCCATGATATTGGTAAAGCATACAATCCGCACTACTGATTTTTTCTCACAGTTACTTGAGGATAGCACACTCTACTTAAGATTGTTAGTTTTTTATCGATGACCATATAAAATCAAAACTAATAGGTGATCTAAGAATGAGGGCACACTCATTCCATAAAAGGATCAGAGAGGCTGCTGAAATCACTCTGCAGCTGTATTAAAAAAATAAACATTGATGAAAATCAACTTAATTTAATTTATTGAGAATTGAAACAATAAAAAAAATACTTATTTTATTTTAAAACATGTGTACATTCTTTTTCCGCAGGTTATCTTTTTTTGAATTTTTTATTTTTCTTCTGATATTTTATCCTCTTTCTTATTCCAGTTCCATCATCCAGATCATCATCAAGTGCAGTACTTTTCCGTTTCTTTTTCCCACTCTTTTTGTCATCAAGATCTTTGAGACCCTGCAAAAATACACAGCATAAAGTAAGACTATTGCAGTAAAACAATTTAAAAATTGTAGGTAGACTTTCCATTCTATAAAAAAACTTTCAAGTAGATTCCAAAACTTCAGCTATTGGCTGTTAATTTAAGCTGTACTTGATAAGATGTAAAAGTAGAAGTAAGCTCTTCATTTTTTTTTAACACCAACCGAATAAGTTATAGAATTAAAGTAATTGGCTCTGTTGATAGGCAGTAAGGTCAAACTGAGCTGCCTGAATGAATTTTCAGAAAAAAAAAGCTGGTAAAAAAGTACAAATAAAACAAATGAAATTTTGAAGACCAGGAGAGCTTGTTGTTGTGCGTCATATTATCCTTAAGGCCATTTCTCTTACAAAACAGAGATCAATACATACTCCTGGTAAAAATGTTGTGCTAGAGAAGGGTTGACTTTGACCTTGCATAAAATTTAACAGGTTGGAGAATTGTAAAATAATGATTCCAGTATGACTGATCAAAAGAAATAATTTTAGAGGTACACAAGGTGAGAGAAAAGGGACTAAGTGATGGTTTCACATCAAGCTTTTACAGTACTTACTATTCTAGCCATCCGTTGTGCATCTGTTACTCGCTCTTGCAAACACATGACTTCCTCCTCTTCTGTTTTATACAAAGGTAGTTTCTTGCCTATTAACTGCTCTATCCTTTGATACAGCTCCACATCATACTGTATAAGTTAAAAAAAAGAATTATCATGAAAGTTTCAGTGAGAGAACAGGGATTTTAGACAAGAATGACAGGTTCAAAATACAAACTGATTGCTTTCAGAGTCATAAATAAATCACAAAGTGCTTGTTGAAACAAACATGTATATTGGTTCATCGTGTACTGTATTTCTTGGTAGAAGAATGGTATGCATGGTTTCAATATTTGCCTAGTAGTAAGCAAGATTTTGGAATAGTGCTCTTGCCTCAGTAATTTGAGGATAAAACAAGTATGACTTCAGTAGTGTTTTCAGCGTATGATAATTTTTAATGGTTAATTTAATGCACTACAAAGGCTGCATCAAAAGTAGTGAGCATGATGCTAACTCCATAACTAAAAAAACTTGTGACATCATCTTGGTTTCATTCAAAAGATCAACTCAAAAACAGTTGATTCAGACCTAGACCAACTTATTCGGTTAAACATTGTCAAAACTATGACAATTTAAAGTTGACAGTTAAAAGTTTGAGCCCTTGCGGGTCTTAGTGAATATTTCTCTTACATTTCTTCCTGCTTGAAATTAGTTCCTATAACTACTCTTTGATGCTGTAGTTCCATCCAAGATATCTTCCAACTGCAGACGATAAATAACAACAGTGTCCAGCTTTAGAGATAACTGTATTTATGGTAATATCCGTTCCCAAATAGCTGGATCAAAGTCCGATCAAGAGAAATGTTTGCCAGAAGGTGACAATTAAATAGTGCATGTCGACAGCGTAAGTACGCAATCACAAGTCTCACTTGCGGTGTCTAAAAATTTCCGCCTCTGTGTTATTTTTTTGAAGGAGAACACATTGACATCATTCCTTTAAGTTTTTGCAGAATTTTCTTCGCACAGAGAAGAAAAATCACTGCAGTTTTAAAGAATATTAAAAAATTGAGTAGGTGAGTGGTTTAAATTGAGTGGTTTTCCGTTTAAAAAATAAAGTATGTCCGCGACATCGCAAACCGAGTTATATGATTGCCGACTTACACCTTCAATGTGTATTTTAAGTGTTCTGATAGTGGTTTTTCATCCATTTTTATTCTATTTTTCAGGCATATAAATGGATTCTGAGGAGCAAAAAGAACCGTGTTTGTGAAACATAATTGTATTCAAATTGGACTATCTGTAAGTGAGACTTTCAAAAAATGAAAGAAGACTTCTATGATGAATGTTAAGTGAATGCTTAGGCTGAGTCACGATTTCTTGGTGGCATAAAAACTTCCCAAAAACATAAGAAAGTATAATCTGGTTACCTGAGTAACAAAAGTTATGGCAATTCCTGAGCGCCCAGCTCGAGCAGTCCGTCCAACTCGATGGATGTAATCTTTGCTATGAGTTGGAATGTCTAAATTTATAACTACATCTACGTGTGGAATATCAAGACCTCTGTAAAATTAAAAATCACGTTTGATATATAATAATAAAGAACATAGTTAGTAAAAAATTTTAAAAAAATGGAATTAGGAAATTTCATTAAACCTAACATTGAAAAAACCATAGACAAAAATATACTAATTTTCATGAAAACTACTAAAGCTTCAAATCTCGGTTTAAGATAAATTTAGAGCCACCTAACATCAAAAATACCTACTGCAGATGCACAAACGAGTTGGCCAAGTAAAATACTTTCTTTAAAGATGATTACCAACCGAGCTAATACTAACTTATCAGGTCTTCAGGTCCAAGGACAAGATTGGTTGCTGAAGCGAAATATAGAGGCGTTTTAGATACCATCCTTAAAATTTCAAAAGATCATAAGTGGTCCTTGCCTCATGTGTACTTTTTATTTTGAATTGATGGGGGCTCTACTTATGTGCGAGATACAACCTTCAACAAAAGTTTTTACCTCTTTTTCCTAAGGTGCCTATGTATTTGCAATTTTATTTCTACAACGATAAAAAAAGATGAAGAATGCTGAAAATTATCCAATCTTCGAGAAAGAGACTTGCTTATTTTGAAGAGATCAACCTCAAACCTCTCACTGCTCCATGAGTTCATTTCCTTTACTCTATACATGGACGCTAAGATCAGTGATCCCAAGCGTACAGATTTATCCGTGCTGCACAGACATTCCGTTTACCGACACCGACCGCATACGGACAAAAACCTTATGGGAAAACGCTCCCCTATCTTAAAATATCCGTATGCCTGGCGTCATAGAATGACTCAGCAGCCAATAGCAGCACAGAGAGCGGCAGAAGGTACAGGTCCCGCACATGGAGCACCAGGGAACACTGGATAAGATTCCTTATCTTGCAAGTGCCATTAGAGTTGAGAATGAATTTGAGAGGAGGGAACTCCAGGTATTTACCTGCTAGCAACATCAGTTGAGATAAGTATAGACCTAGTTTTAGCTTTGAATTTTGTGAGTGCAGCTAGTCTTTTGTTTTGAGACATCTGCCCATTGAGAGGGATGGCACCCAATCCTAGGTTCCGCAACATCAGGGCTACTCGCATTGTGTTTGCACATGTTGAACAAAATACCATGAAGGAATTTCCAGCCATTTCGTTTAATAAGTGAACCAGGTACACATCCTAGAAGCAAAAAAAGGTACATCGATTTTAAGTACACTTCGAAATCTTAACTTTTCTTGCCTTCAGGAAAGGGCACACGAGATAAAGAATGCCTGAAAATTTTTAGCTCTGAGCTCCTTCCAATAAAAAAGGAAACAAAATTTCTGATATTTGAATCATAGATCGTATTCGATACATCAAACGGGTGAGATTGTATCGATATCGATTGGTTCAAAACATAAACATAGCCTCAAAAGTCAATTTAGAAATCGGAGGGAACGGGTCTTTTGTAACAGATTTTTTATTCTTTTGAGTACCAAATGCCAATGCAAAGTGAAATTGTCAGGAAATTTCTCATCTTCAGCTTTTCCATCTCAAATCCTTACAGTTTGGTTTGAGGTTATGTTCTATTGTTTTGAACCAAACGATACATCGAACCCGTATCAAATACGGTCTATAATTACAAAACAAGGCCCCCCTTGCAAATTTTACATAGCGCCCATTTTTTTAACACATAATCTCAACTACTCTCTTCCTCTCCAACTTTTCTCTCTTTCTCAAGAGATTTGAAGAAAATCAGAGCATAATTAAAATGAAGGCAAACACCTTATTTTTCTTTTGCGTGATAAGCAGGTGCATAGTAGTTATTTGAATCTCTATGGCGGCGCTTACTTCTAAAAATTCATTTGATGAAAGGTCGGGCCAGCTGTTCTTTTCAAAGCACAGAACGTATTGTAATCACTACTTTATAATTACCAAAATGTCATCTGGCCCTTAGTGTTTCTTAAATAATGATACATTTCATGGCCTATCTGCTATCTCTTTGAATATAGTATCTGGTACAGCAGCAGCACTTTCTAGGAAATTGTATGGATCAAATTAAATGCTTTGCCCTGCAGTTTACTAGTTAATATTTACTTCAAAGTATTGAAGCAAAGCTAGGATTGGTAATCTGAATGTTTTGCCAAGATTACACAATTTCAGAATGTTGAGACAACTTTTTTTCAACTTTTGTCCTGTTCTGAGACATAAAGCTCTAAACTCAGTTCGAGTGACTCATAACTTATGGGAGGATGCAGCATTTTCCAATCTATGGATCTGGAAAAAATAAATTACAAATATACAACTCATACTTAAACTTGTAAAGCTATCACTTGACAGAAAAAACAGTACCAGAAATTCCCTCCTCTGCAGACCTTTCGAGAACCCCTCAAAATTGTTAGAGGTTGAGCGTAAGTAAAAGAAAAGAATAAGGCTCGCAAAAAAGGATGATGGGCAAAACCCACCCTGTCTGATTACTCCAGTAAGTATGAACAAAGGAATGATACATAGATAAGAAATCGATAAAATGATGGTAGCTTTGAAATTTTTTTAAAATAGCTTTTTAAAGAAAATTTTTGAATGTTGTGACCTGAGCGTAAACAAAAAGACGAGACTGTGACACCTTATTTAATCACACATGATAATCGATGAAAAAGTACAAAACTCAAAAATGGATTTGAAGGTGGGAAAAAGGAGGATCCCAAAACGACTGTCAGCATAATGGACTACATATAACTCTTGGCAGAAATTAACTAGAGTAAAGCTTCAACATTCATACTACCAATAAAAAGAAACTCTAACCTTGAACTTAACAGGGATAAAAATGTAATACTGCTGCAACTGATCAACTGTTTGATACTTTGTTGAAACTTCCACTTTCACAGGATCTTTCAAAGAGGCTCTTTGCAATTTTTGAACTTTCTTCGTCATGGTTGCAGAGAAAAGCATTGTCCTTCTTTCTCTGGGAATCACTTTCAATATTTTGTCCACTTCTGTCTCAAAATCCATATTTAAAATTCTATCAGCTTCATCCATAACCTTCAAAAACATAAAAAAAACTAGTACAATCTGAAATACTTGGTATATGTAAATATTAAAAAAAAAAAAAAAAAACACATGAACATAGTATATAGTACATAGTAATAATTAAATCTGCCCAATCCCCTAGTTTAAAACCATATTTCACAACAATACCTTGTTTTTCGGTAAATAATTTCTCAAAATCTTATTAATTGGGAACTGCGACCCCTCACTGCATCCCTTGAATTTTTTAGGGAGCTGGAGACTTAAAGAACAGAATGGGAATTATAACCTACTAATAAAATGTGTCAAATCTCAAAACATTCGACACTAGCGAATTAAGACCTATCTTGTACAAACCCCTTCTCATTCTCACTACCAAGATGAATTAGGAAAGGACGACGGACCGGTCTTATGGGAAAAGTGGGCCCGGTTAAATCGGCTGGCGTTTTGATATGTTGTAGGTCTTAACCTACTGATCAAAAGTGTCAATGGGCATTTCTCCCTATCTCGAAGTTTTACCCCCCATTTTGGGGGTCAAAGTTGCCAATTCGGCGTATAATTGGCAGTTTT